GTACCTATATATGTAATATCAAAGCAATTGGACTTGCGGTTTTCAACAAGAAGTCGAAAATATCACTTTTTACCAAAAATGACAAAAATATTCACCAAAATTAGAGAATTAAAGATATCATTACAAAATGAACAAATCTGAGAGAGGTCCACATGTAGTACCTATATATGTAATACCAAAGCAATTGCACTTTCGGTTTTCAACAAGAAGTCGAAAATATCACTTTTTACTAAAAATGACAAAAATATTCACCAAAATTAGAAAATTGAAGATATCATCATGAAATGAACAAATCTGAGAGAGGTCTACCCAAGGTACATATACACCAAGTATCAAAGCATTCAGGCTTGTAGTTTTCAAGAAGAAGTCGAAAAAGTAAAACATTGACACGGACGACGGACGACGACCGACGACAGACGACGACGGACAATCACTCATATGATAAGCTCCGCTCGACAAAGTCGACAGCGGAGCTAAAAATAAGGACTTACAGATGATAGATTTTCAACATGTTTACTCAGTGCTCATTCAAACGGAAAGAAAGGAAATGCACAATGTGTTCAAAGAGACTTACATATGTGACCCTTATATCAATATGTAGCTATACCATTTTTGAAAATGTGTGTAGACAATAAAATGTATGCAGTAGATTGATCCATTAAAGGTGAACCACTCAATCCCATGGATTGAACCAAGTGCTTATGGGTAATTAACTCCGCCTCTGTCCACTAAGTAAATGAATGCTTATTATGCTCGCTTACTCAAACTGTGATTGACAGGCACTTTGCATACATCATGATTTTTACTTGTTACGGCTTGTTTCGACCGAAAACAGCAACATTTATACATCAAAATCCCAACCAGATGAGTGTAATCGCTAGCGTACATATTCATGCCCCCGTAGAAATATATTTGAAATCACAGCTTGATCTCTAAACATCGTAAATGGCACATTTCCCGGAGCTCCCGCCACGATGTTAGCGACTTGGTTCGGATTAGCATACTAATTGCGATGACCATCTTGCCCCTATAAGTATCGGTTCCCCTTTAACTGATATATCAAACATCAAACTAGAGCTTGGGTGGTTTTAAAGTAAAAAGTAAATAAAGTAGAATAAAGTAAATATGTAAATAAACATTTGACAGATTTATGTACCAGCACATCATGGAGTCTGAATGTAGCAAATTGTGACAGAATACTTACCTGTAGGTGAACTGAGATCTATGTGTTTTATATCAGGTGTAAGAATCCTAGGATTTAGTCTTGGCATAACATTAGGTCTGGACATGAGATAGTCCAATAGATCAGTTTGATCAGTGATATCACCCTGCAATTAAATGCAAATTTAAGTAGGTATATTTTAAGTTATACATGTACATGATAAAAAAAAATTCACTAGTGAACATTGTGATAACTAGTTAATTAATCATGTAATCATATATATATATATATATATATCAACTAAACATATATGCTGTTATTATAGTTATATTTCCAATAGAAGTGCATTTAAACCATAATACTGAATCATTAAAATATTACCTATTTATATTAAAATCTATATTTCACATAAGCACATAGACTTTTAATAGATCAAATATGATCCTATCCTGGGCTTTTTATTTTCAATAGATCATACTTTGACTCTATATTTATTTGATATGAGTACTGGACATAAGGTAATAATCTCCCTAGAGTTTAGAATGAAGGTCAAGACATTAAAGTTAAATGACAAAGAGATATCTAAAAGTGAGAGAACTTTTAGTGAAAACATGAAGTAAAAGTCAAATGTGTATACCTGCCAGACTGACTTCTGAAAATCTGTTGTTTGTTGCAAGATGTCCGTCAGCACTGCTTCCTCAAAAGCATTAGGATCCATCTAAGAGGAAATAAACAAAAGAGAAATCTGGGTTAACAAGTCATTGACACAGCCCCCATTTATATTTCTGATGATTCCAAAATAAAAAAAAATTATTAACGATGTCAGTGATTTTATACACAACTCTTTCATAACCAACAAGCAATCTAACTGTCAAAAAAGATGATGATGTGCTGTACAATGAGATATTAACTAGTTTCCATGGTTACTAGTGTTCCCACAGCACTATTGACCACTCTGTATTACTCAACAGGTTGTCAAGTTTTGGTATCACTGGCAATTACAATTGTTATTAAATTGTTATAATTCTCAGGTCAGCCTCTGAACCCTACATACCAAGTATCAAAGCAATTGAGCTGGAAGTTTTCAAGAAGTAGTTGAAAATGCAATTCTGGAACAAGCAGCCAGTCGGCTGAGAAAGCTCCGCTGTTAGCAATGCACATTTCAATTAAAGAACAGAAGATATCATTAGAAAATGAACAATATGTATAGTATCAAAGCAATGGAACTTGCTGTTTTCAACAAGAATATCACTTTTCACCGAAAATGACAAAAACAATCATCAAAATTAGATAATTCAAGATATCACCAGGAAATTAACAAATCTGAAAGAGGTCCACATGTAGTATCTAACCTATATATGTACCGGTAATAGCAAAGCAATTGGACTTGCGGTTTTTAACAAGAAGTCGAAAATATCACTTTTTTACCAAAAATGACAAAAATATTCACCAAAATTAGAGAATTAAAGATATCATTACAAAATGAACAAATCTGAGAGAGATCCAAATGTAGTAATTATATATGTAATATCAAAGTAATTGGACTTGCGTTTTTTTAACAAGAAGTCGAAAATATCACTTTTTACCAAAAATTACGAAAATATTCACCAATATTAGAGAATTAAAGATATCATTACAAAATGAACAAATCTGAGAGAGGTCCACATGTAGTACATATATATGTAATATCAAAGTAATTGGACTTGCGTTTTTTTAACAAGAAGTCGAAAATATCACTTTTTACCAAAAATGACAAAAATATTCACCAAAATTAGAGAATTGAAGATATCATCGTGAAATGAACAAATCTGAGAGAGGTCTACCCAAGGTACATATACACCAAGTATCTAAGCATTCAGGCTTGTAGTTTTCAAGAAGAAGTCGAAAACATAAAACATTGACACGGACGGCGACGACGGACAATCACTCATATGATAAGCTCCGCTCGACAGCGGAGCTAAAAAAAAACATCTGTAAGATATGACTGTCTGCGACATGTCTCTGGCCGGATGGACATGACCCAAATTAATGGCCCCTGATTTTGTCCGAAACACGGACTAAAAATGCAGACAAATATAGAAATGAGCTTATAAATACATGTATGTAAAAACCACTGATACGAGCACTTTAGATATACATCCAATACACACTGCTTTCATTTGTACATTCCATACTGATATCAGAATTCTGAAGTAAACAGTGGTTTCAATACACTATGAAATGAACATAGTTTCATACAATTGTTGATTTTACATGCTGTTTGACAGTGTAGAAAGTTATCTATGTACATTATACTTTACAGTGTTGTCATTAGAGGTGAGAGCAAACTTGTATTTTTTGACTTCTACTATTACCTTAGTTGTATACATTTGGATTGCTATGAACCTCCTGTTATTGCGCATTAACTTGCTACTAAAACATGTTAAACATGTGAAAAATTTAAAATTTCAATACATGTTATGATGTAAGAATATTTGTTTTACTATGTACAATGTACAGGTAAATTCTTCACCTCATCTTTCTTCATTGGAACACCATTAAGTAATACTTGAGGAAGTTCTCCAAGTCCAGTTCGGTCAAAGAAAGCTTTCCCTGCCTGTAGATAAAATGTGACAAATATTATACTTATTAAAAACAAAAAACATGAAACCAAAAATGAGAAAATTACATTGTATCTAATTTAATTTTCAAAATTTGTTTGTATTTTCTATAATTTCTTCATTAATTAATTAATTTCCTGTTCGATATGGGATTCATAGCGATGTACACAACACATGTAAAATACATTGTTTATTTACATGAAATTTGAAGACGCATTGGGCGATGACCACCACCCTTCAAAAAATGATCATAATTGGACAGAAAGTCCTGTAACAAAAGTGTCCCCTTAGAATGCAGTGAAACTAGAATTATGAAACCCTGCTGAAATAACTTATTTACCATTCGTTTATCATCATAATCAGAATCTTCTCCTAGAATGTCATCAATGTCTTCACCAGGGAATACTTTATTCAGTTGTTCGATCACATGGTCAACTGTCACCTCATCTGTTCCAGCTTTTTTATATATCTAAGGAAATAAAAATTTATATTGAGATTATACAACATAAATATGATATACCATGTTGACTACATAGATCACACTGACCACAATGTTTCCATGAATTGCATCAACAGCAGCATCACAGGGCTGAGATTTATAGCCAGGATAAACTTGTTCAACACTAGTGAAAAGTAAAGTTTACTAGTCCAACATGGTAAGAGAGTGATTAGAATTGATTTAGAATAATACTTTATTATCATAATAATAATAATAATTAATAATATATATAATTAAATAATATGACACAACACGACACATGCTATGACACAACAGAATCCCTGTTAGTTCAGTAGCAAACAAAAATTAAATAAGTCAGCCATCTTGAATCAGAACATAAAACAAATGCATTATGTATTTGTAAGACAGACAATAGCTGTCTTGATTTTAAAGCATGTATGAAGTTTGAACATGATTGCTATAGGCAAGGCAGAGACAGCTCAAAAACCACATTCATTAAACAAAATGGCCACTAATCAGCCATTATGAATCTGATCTACAAAACAAAATGACTTGCAACAAATGAATGTGTATATGAGCGACAAGATGGATGATGTTACATTTACTGATTTGATACTATGATGCTACTTATCATAAGACATCATCTTTTCGATGTTTTCCTGTTCCAAACAAAAACAATTCTGAATTTGGCAAAAAAACAAAACAATTACAATGCAGAAAATGACATCAAACATGGATACACCATTCTTTCCCTCATTTCAACAAACAAATTGCAAGCCAGTCAGGATAGAGTAATCTATGCAAGTCCAATGACAATTGTCATCACTCATATAGACTAAGATAGCTTTAATCAGGAGTATGTCAATGAAATCTATTGTGAGAGAACTCAGATTATGATACCATATTTTTTAATCAAGCATAGTATTGTTAGTTGCATAACAATATGTAACCATGTGTAATTTCTATGCTAGCGAAACATAGTGGATAAGTTGTTTTATGAATGATCAGTCTAATAGAGTTATTATGGTACATACGTGTACAAGTTGTTGCGTTATGAAATAGTTCTACGCTTAGCAATCAAGGAGCGCATGTGATGCGACCTAGAAAATAGTTCTGATTGTATTGTACCATGCCCAGTGTTTATTTGTCACATTGATGAGTGACCTATTATTTGTTCTGATTAATCTGTTTATTCTGTTTATTATCACGTGATTCATTCACATTATTAGTCAATTTGAGAGAACGGGTCGTGCGCTCGCTGATTGACAGAGGAGGTAAAAAAATGGAAAACCATACGGGACAGTAGAATTCACTGACGAGGGGACACAGAAGGTGAAACTGAAAGTCGCTGACTGAAAAAAGCACTTTCATCACTGGAAAGTTGCTGAATTGAAGTTGTGGGTACTTGAACTGTGAGACGGCATCACTCCGAATTGGATCGAAAGATTTTCCGTGAGACTACTTATCTGCGAACCCGGAAGTGGCAGTTTTGCTGGACTGGCATTGTTTACATGTGAAGTTCGCATTCGCCCAGAAATCATCTATGAATGACATTGCCGTGAGTACCTCTTAGTTTTAGTGCGACTATCGTCAACGAGTGACGTTACCGTGAATGCCTCGCACTGTGTACGTTGTCAACAAGTGACAGTACCGTGTATTCCTCATATATATATATACTAGTATATTGTGTATATCGTCAATGAGTGACATTACTGTGTGAACCTCTTATCGTAAAGAAAGTGAATGAACAATCTACACTCCGTTAATCTACTTATGAAGATTTCAACAAACGCATGGTCGAGACTTTATTTAAGTTAATATACCCTTCATCAACATTGTCCTACAATACGCGAGTAAATACAACTAGTCCATATTTGTCAACCCGTGTGTGTATTATTCGCCGAAGTCGATCTAGAGGCCGGAGGCTATGCCTGAATTTGTTACGAGTGCGTGACCGTTATGTGTGTGACCGCGCGTGAACGTCAACATTGCTGAACAACGTGTTGTGAGATTATTACCTTAGCAACGTCGAAGCACCGCCCGGTTGTTAGGAGATCGTGGACATTGTAGTGAACACTTGTTGTCAATAATTGGTATATTCTGATACTTGGTGAACTCTTGTTTACTGTTGACTGTTGTTAATTATTATTGTGCATTATTGCAAACTAAAGTGTATGTTGAAGTTGCCCCATAGTATCACCCTGTACAGGAATCCATTTTCCCTATTTGCATGCAAGGTTGAATAAATTCCAGTGACCTTTGACATATATCATATTAGTCTAGTTCTTGATCAATCGTTGTGGTGTGTGACGCTTCATTGCATTAGTTTAGTTATCCAAATATCACATCGGTCGCCCTGTGCTACGTTTCTAAATTAATTTGAGGACTAGTGTCTTTTGTCAACTTGCTGACCAGAGAACCTACCTTACAAATATATAAACTACAATTAGTAAAATTAAAAAATGCATCCATAACTCAATCACTAATATGTATGTTATAGAAAGAGATTCAACTCACCCTGGTCAGGAAAGTCAGGGCCCTACCAGCTCCACGGTCGCTCTTGGCGAAGTTGTAAGCTCTCATGATTGCCACGCCGACATCGTTCCTACCATCTATCACTTTTTCATCATTAACAACAAAGACAATACCAATTTTAGTCGGAGCATTGTTGATATGGAAACTATCAGCTTGTTGTAGTAACTCACCAGAAATCAAACTAGTTGGATCTACAATGAAGGTCTAGAATGGAAATCAACATTTGTGTTAGGTTACAATCATGCATGTCCATTCAGAGGGGGGTGGAACTCTAAATATTAAACACTGCAAGATCCATGTAATATGCAAGGTATGAATACTATCTTCACAGGGTTTAGTTGATTTACTGCCATGTCTTGCGTCGATAGCAGCGCTTTATGACGTCAACCATAGTTGGCATAATGCAGCATTCTGGTGAATTAAATTTTGTGTTATTCTAGTTTTATCCTAAATAAGTTCTTATTTTATATTTTAGTGAAACATTTGTGTGGACCATACATGTAAATTAAACAGATCTGTCAATGGTCAAAATAAGAAATATATTTCAATGTTTCAGCATATAACAAATGCAAATTCTGTTTTATATGTGCAACACAATCCTCTTTGTAATAATACCGGGGTAATAATAATAATGACACTTTGTAAACAATATTTGTTGATGTATTTATTATTCAATGTTTACTAAGCCACCATTTTATTTTGATGCTCTATGATACTACACAAATTAAACATGGTACCAATATTATCCAATTACGTTTGAAAGTTTGAGGGTAAACTTTCATATTAAGTTCATGTATTATTGTCCCATACCTATTTATTCCCATGTACGGTATATGTTTCACAGCTTGTTATACATGTATTGGACTCGTAAAATTTAAGAGCACTCATTTGCATATTGGAACAATGCTCCTTGTATACTTTACCAACAATTTATAGGCATTGCTAAATATTTTGTTAATTTGGGGCAAATATATTATTATACATGTATATATTTATAAATAATATATTTACAATTTTAGAGATTCATTTATAACATTTTACTAACTTCAAAAGTAATTGTAATTATAATCCTGTGAGCTGTTAGTTGTAGTTGGAAGAATTAGAAACCGCAAAGTTTGAATATGTAGCTAAACTACAAGTAATTCTGGTTATTTGTTTTCTAAAATCAATGCACATGATCTGTTTTTTACATTTATTCTGAAATTGTAATTAAATTTATGATTTTTTGAAAACTTTTTGTAAAACCTGTTGGTCATAAAGCTACATGCATGTATTAATTGACTGGAATCAGATTGTTTTACATTCTCTTGTATCTTAGGTAACACAATGTTTGAGTTAAATCGCAGTTAAGTCATGGTTGGAGGGGGGGGGGGGGGTAGAGGTCCCAAAATGAACAAATCTTCGATCAGGTAAAAACATATACAAAAATAAAACAATTGAACAAGCAGTTTTCAATAAAGTGATCAAAAGTATAATTTTTTACAAAACATTCCTGAAAATTAGAAAATTTGAATATATCCAACCAATATTCAAAGGAATTGGATTTGCACTGTTCAGAAAGAAAATGTAAAAATGTGAATGACAAACAATGAGTAATATGATAAGTTCAACTTGACTTCATTGACAATGCTACAACATTTTTAACTGACACACTCATGAATATTGGTGGGGGGGGGGGTTAATTCAAGCATGAATTTTATTGGACACTGTCAATCAAAAGTTATTACACTGTAACCTCACTGTTATAATGAACACCTTTATAATGAGTGTCCTGATCAAATGAACACATTATATGTTTCCTGCTTATAGCAAACCCAACATATTAGTATTATGAGCTTCATTATAGTGAACACTTTACTATAACAAACTAATTGTACGTCTCTCAAAGAGTTTCTTATAATAGAGATTACAGTGAATGGATCAACTGTATATAATAGCAAAATATGAAGCGAACCTAAATGCGGCCTTAATTTATAGTTGTGTATATTCTAAACTGTATTCGAAATAATATTGCAGTGGT